ACCTTCTACTTCACAAACCGCACAGCCATTACACTCGCCGTCGCGACGAGTGGAGAAGCGTGTTTGTTTTTTTTCTTTTAATTCTCTATCTCTATCTATCTATCTCTCTTTCTCCTCTCCTCTCCTCCGGAGGCGACGACGACACGTCTTACCGCTGCGAAGTCGTGGTAGCGACTGCTCTCGGGAGACTGGCGGCGCAGCCCGATCGACCAATGGCGTGCCGGCTTTTACCGAGCGCCATCTTGCCCCTACCCAAGCACAAAGAGGATGCCGACCGAGCGGCCACGGAAGCGCACGACTACCGCTCGTCTCGCCGTTCCACCCCTGCACTATTACCACCACCACCACCGTCACCGCTCTCCTTCCCCTAACACCACTACCACCATCGCTACCACTACACTATCCACTATCCTAGCAGCGCGGTGGATCGACGTGCGTTTTGCGGCTTCGCTCCTTCGTGGGTGCCCACTTTCGATATAGAGGTTTTATGGGAGGATTAAGCGCGAGACGGAAGCCGGCTGTGTATTTCGAAAATTGTACTTCGATGGCAATTCGCGATCTCGTCCCGTCCGATCGCCCCAAATGATGACTCTTTTCTCGCGAGAAGGGGAGCGTCTGATAAATCTTTATTACGTCTCTATTCATATACGATGTTTTCCTTCTAAATGTCGTGATATTCGATAGATGATCACCATTCTCCTATCGGCGAATCGTAATCTAAATACGATATACATAACAAATTTTCTTTTTTTTTTTATTAGACTCACGCGATATAAACTTTTACGGTTTAAAACACTTTTGAATACACTGTATGACTAATGAGAGGCACGCCAATGGCACTCTGATTATTTTCGAATTACTTTCGCGTGCCCGCCGCATTCGGAATTCGTACTCACCGAGACTGTACCGGTTCCAAATTTCTCGACGCTTCGATTACGATTGACGAGACGGTCGTTGATCGCGACGACCTGCGATAACTGACACGTTCCGGCGATCGTCCGTCAGTTTAATCAGAACCTGACGAAGATTTGCACTCGTTGCACGCTTTCAACGGGTTAAATTCGTAATTATTTGCGGAGCGATCGCGCACCGCGTTTCCGAATCGACGCGCTCGCTAAACTGTCATGGCGGCCGAACGATTGCGCGCAATGTTGGACGTTTTTCGATATTAAGATAAGAGAACGCAATTAAAAAAAAAATAATAGTTTCTAATTTGTTAGTTAGTAATTTTTAGTAGTACGCTGAATAATGATCGGTATGTGATTAAAAGAGACAGAATGTGTATATATATATATATATATACATATATATATAGAATTTGAAAAAACTCAATTAGATATAAGATTTCGCCAAATCTCAGTGACATTTTACAATAAGCCATAAGTGATAGATTATAAATCAGAAAATAAAAAATGACCAATCATAGTTGAGTATTCTTATTATATCAATCTGTGATTGATCACTTTCAATCACAGGTCAATTTTTAGCTTCTGACTTATGATTTGTTACTTATAACTTATTATATTTATTATACTTATACTTATTATAAAATGGTCTTTTCATTTGAATTAAAAAAATACGTTTGTAATAAGAAGAGAGACTTATTGTTTTCCATACACTTTCCAGAAAATTGTAATGATTGACGACATTACTCGATATTTTTTATAAAGATTTAATAAATAAATAAAAATCAGAATATTTTATGTTCATAAATTTCTAATTAGTATATGATACAGTGGACTCGCCCAAATGATCGATCTGTGAAATCAAGTAATATAGACTCGTCCACATAATCAATGTAGAAAATCCATTATATCAATAATATCATGATTGGTAAATATTTATTTGTTTATATGTTCATATATTCGTATTGAACGGATAGAAAATGTAAAAAATTTATATCTAATAAATGAAGAGTTATGAGGAAAAAGGACCAAAATTTTAAATTGGCACATATTATAGTGGACTCGTCGCAAATGCACTTATAGGTTTTCGATACCGTAGAGATTTCCAAATTAAATTGCATGAAATGGTCCCAAAATGTCGAAACATTTTGCAACGATCGTGTATCATAACACGTATTAACATTAATATGAAATATGTCATTCTTTTAAAAGCATTCCGTAATTTTTAAATATTTGATTTTTTTTATATTTACGTATAATTTCTTAAGTTACAGTAAATTCATGAATTAATAATTCAGCATTATATATGCTCTTAAAGTTGAACATTTCGCAAAAATAGTTTGTACAATATATATTTGATGTTTAATATTCTAAATAGATGAAACTAAAAACATACATCTGATTTCTCAGCTTCCATTTTTGAGCTCCCTATAAGTGAAGCAGTTTCTCTTTGGCAATAAAAACGTTACTACATTTTTTCCAATTACGCATATATTTCGTTCACTCGGAAAACATGACGTTGTTAATAAAAAGTACACTTCATATGCGATAGTAACTAGTAGTCAACAGCTCTGACATCTGAAAATTTTTACATTCGTTTATTAAATAAAAAAAATTCGATAGATCTGTTCAATGTTATTTCGTTATTACCGTACAACGGTTATAAACGGTCAATAATTCCTCGAAAAAGGACTGTCTGATTCTCCGAATTTCTCGACTTCAAGCGATAACGTCGAGTCTCACTGTTTTTTCGACATTGTTTGGCTCAACGCTGAGAATTCTAGGAATATATTCTGAGTTTTAAAAATACATCGATGTTTTGATCAATTCTTGTTTTCTACAAAGGACATCGTCTATCGAGTCCATGAAAATGTAAAATCAATTGAAATAAGATTAAAATCTGATTAATGTTCAGGATATATTTATGAAATTTTGAAAGATTCATTTTATCTTAGAATATCACGTTTCTATTTATTAGCGATAAAATAGGAATTTTCTGTAATTTTATAAATATAGATTTATCATTCAATTTTATTTATTGCTTTATAATGAAATGTGACTTTGATCAATTTAATCTATACGAATCTATATTGTAGCGGATTATCAAGATTCAAAAAATTAAATATACATGGATGTGCGATTATCTAAAGATTATTCTCTTATGAGTTTTTTTCCAAAAAAAGAGATCTTTAGAAAATATATCTATAGATTATTAATTTTTCGCTGATAAACAGCGTTTTTTTACAAATTGCTATCTCTGTTTTATATTTTTTTTATTCCTATGTCCTTTATTTTTTAATCGAAACTTTTATCTTCTTTCCTCTAATATCCACTTAATAACAACGATTTTTCTTAATTTTTTGTGCATATAATTTGACTGCATTGTGTTGGTTAAATGTGGAATATAAAATATGCTAGTTAAGGAATTTATAATATACAGTTGATATCAGACAGACATTATATTTTGTAGATAATCCGCAAAGATTTATTGCCATATAAATCGAAGGCACGACACGTTTCTTGATATCTATGTTATAAAAATTTCAAATCTCATAAAAGCCGCGAATAAAATGACACACACATATATGCACATACATTCAGTGAATATAATATTTTATATTTATTCTAACATCGCCCTTTATCTTTTAAATTTTATCACAAGTTGAAATAATGGATCCTCAAATTCGTGGTCACACGCTGCGAATCTCGTAATCCCAATATCTCGATAATCCGATAATATATCTCCGTATATTAATTAGTATCGAATTATCGAGATCGCATTGTATTGACACGGTCCGTTTACAATTTGCCCATAAATCTGCTTTCATGAGATTTTTGTCATAAATGTAACATGGCGGAAATTAAAGGCAACAAAGGATGCGCGTTACAACATATAATTTATATTACATTTAGATAGTGTATGTGAGCTACACGTTTCCTCTTCTCTCTTATTCTCTCTTCCTCTCTCCCACTCCTCCTCTTCTCTCTCTCTCTCTC